AGGCTGTTTGAAGCCTTGTCTTTATTGATCCACGCAGCCTGAGAGTGACACCACATATTTGTAGTCAGCCTTGTGGTAGATTTGGAGCCACATTCACTATCCATAAATTGAGTTTATTACCATGGAGGTGAAGAATCAGTAGCTTCTTGTTCGTACTGGTATTCTGATACAGCAAAGCGATGCAGCAGTTGTAAAACAGTTGAACCCTTAATGTGGTGGAATTGGTTTAATGTCATGACCACAATCTATGCCACCTACTCTGTAAGTGCTTTGATTATAAAGAAATTTAGTTTATATAGTGAACAAACTAGGATTAGATGAATTAAAATGGTTGTTAAACACTGAGTGTATGTTGGCACCCTGTAGTTGTTTGTGTTTTAACAAGTCAGCTGAAGAAAAACTTCATGCCTAAAGATATTCTTGCCAAAAACTATTTTCCTCAAATTTGGCATCAACAGCAATTCCACAATTCACCGTGAACAGTCCAAGTTCAAGTCATGTTTAAAATTTCACATCTTATGTTTACTTTTGTTATATCATGCAGTTAAGATGGCAGGATACATTAGAAAGCAATGACTTTTATTGAATAGGATTATCCTTCAAATGAGAATGTCCGCATTATTTACAATCGTTGCTGCATATGACTCACAGTGCAGTGATGTGATGAGAAAGGTGTATAGACATATCAGGTACTCACACTAGTGAAGGAATGGTACAAAGTAAATAGGAACTGAGCCAAATCGCTGCAGTGCTTCCTCTGATTACATTTTAAATTGCAAACATACATTTCATCAGTACACGTGCATGAAGCACAGTCTAACTGCAGTGTTTTATTTGGATATCGTTCTGAGGCTATACTCTGCAAATATTAACTGATGGCATCTTACACACTGGGAACCTAAAAGAAAAAAAAACATTGCTTAAATTTGTCTCTAGCTAACCATCATCACCCAGAACATCCCAGCTAAACACTAAAAATGTATTTTGAATGCTATATTCAAAAATGCATTTCTTTTTGATCACTCCATTAGCAAAGGCTAAGTAGAAAATATTTGCTACCATGCTTGGCACTCATTGTAAAGGCTTCATACATTCTCTTTCGTTGTAGTAGTCTTAATTATATATTCAGTATGAGTTTGGTTCCTAACTTTGGTTTGCAGAGGTCATAGCCAGAAGCGCTACACATAAAACTAATATAAGTTCAGAAAGGTAAACGCAGTGCTGTTTGAAAACATACACCAGAAACAGTGCAAGGAATGGTTTAATTTTTTTAACATGACTACCCTGTTAATTAATGTTAAGTAATGCTATATTTTCTGAATTACCTTAAAATAAACCAGTATAGATAGATAGATAGATATTTTAAAAATCATGTCTTTTCCATCTCTTAGGTATTCCAAAACTCTCCTCCTACGCAAAAGCAGAAGACAAACTATTCAAATATCTCTTTAAAAACTACCAGAAATGGGTTCGTCCAGTGGAATACCTAAACCAGACAATCCGTGTGAGGTTTGGACTAGCTATTTCACAGCTTGTTGATGTGGTGAGTATAAAGCAGCACTGATTATTACTCTGATAATGTTTATCTATTTGTTACCAAGAAATCATATAAAGGACATAAAATAGTTTGTTCAAAGATTAAATGCCATTTAAATCACTGCTATGTTCTCTGTTCACTGCTCTCTAAAAATATAATGTATGTATCACTTAACATAAAATGTGAATGTTTTTTGTACAAAATTTGTTGTTTTACAATTCTAGGATGAGAAAAACCAGTTAATGACAACTAATGTTTGGATGAAACAGGCAAGTACCTCTATATCTGTACTTACAAAATGATGTAACATCATGTTGCGCCATTAATATTTCTATAGCACCTTTCTAATCTAAACTTACAAGAAATATTAAAAAATACATAAAGCACTTGAATAAAAAGAGGGCATATAATAATAGGAGGATGCTTATTCCACAGTCTTTGGGCCAAAACAGTAAAGGTACTCACCGGCTTTGTGTTAAGGCTTGACTGTGGAAGCTGTGACAGCAATTGATTCTCTTATCTGAGAGATCTGCTTGCTTAATGAAGAGTTAAGTATTTTGAGATATAAAGTGGAGCTCTATCATGTAGTGATTTAAAAGTAATCAATACAGTCTTAAATTGGATTCTGCAGGAATTGTGAAGCCAGTGTATCTCTGCAAGAGCTGAAGTAAAATGTTTCTTGCATTGAGTGTTTGTGAGTAGCGTTGCTGCCGTGTTTCGTACTAAATGTAGATGGAAAACTGCTGCATTGTTAAATGAGTAGCAGCATTCAATTATATTATTATATTCTGTCTGACCTTGGCAATATTTATAATGTGTACAGATTAAGATTGAAGGGTTAATAGTCTCAGGATTTTGTTGCCCAACAGCAGGAAATTACACTATTAGGAATATAGTCAGGAGGAATGGGTGGTGGTTAGTGGTTAGGTTGTGATATTACTCTGGCCTAAATTTTAGTGGTCTTGAATTGAAGTTTGTTTGCCAGTGACAGGTGGGTCACACATGGGCCTTAACACTTTGTATTAACTGGATAGAAATAGCAGTCTTCACTCTGGGAATGGCTGCTTTGGCTTTTTAGAATGTATTATAACAGAAGAGCATAGACTGGACAGGAAAGCTGGGATAGAGAGCCAGGAAAGTTATGTGGGAAATGCCCCAAAGGAGATTTGAATCTAGACTACTGCAATAGCCTTGAGGCATATGAGTCACACTCTCAATCCAGCAAGCTATACTAACACCCTATAAACCTGATTTCGTAAGGGGAGGCTGAATACACGCCTGCTTCTGTGTAAATAATCATTCTGTACAATACGATCATTTTTAATTCTACAACTGTTTATAACTTGCATAGTTCATATTTCTGTATAGTTTTTTTATTTCATAGTTTTTCATATTTATATCCTGTTCATAGCCTGTACATAGCTCGTACTCACTACAGCCTGTACATACTTATAGTTACAGCATATTCATAACATATCTTCATACCATGTAAATTATAACATACCATAATAGACCCATTTCTGTAATATACTTACATGTCCATATTATTGCTAATATATATTTGTAATATATTTATATCATGGCTAAAGCACTTCTGGGTGGATGCAAACTGCATTTCATTGCCTTGTACCTGTGTATTTTAACAACCCATTGATAGATTAGTTGTGGTTTTAATTGTTAAATGGACTATTTTCCCTCACGTAGGAATGGACTGACATGAAACTCAGATGGAATCCTGATGAATACCTGGGCATCACATCGATCCGTGTCCCCTCAGACAGGCTATGGCTGCCGGACGTTGTACTGTATGATAAGTATGTCACTGTACTGTATATCAGCGGTCCCCAACCCCCGGGCCACGGACCGGTACCGGGCCGCGAGAGTTGAAACTCGGGTGTGAAATGTATGGTTTTTAGCGGTTTTTTGTTATCGTTTTTTTTTTTCGTTAACTCTGTTTTCCTGGGTCTTTTCATGTGTGTTATGAATAAATCTTCTTTTTTTTCGGTACCGGTACTAGTTTTATTTTGTTGTATTTATCCGCGACACCTTAAAGGCCGGTCCGTGAAAATATTGTCGGGCACAAACCGGTCCGTGGCGCAAAAAAGGTTGGGGACCGCTGCTGTATATAAATAGGTTATTAAAAGATATAATGAAAAACTTTTTCTTTTTTTCTTACATTTTCCTAATTTTCCAAATGATTTTCATGGTATATAAAGCAAAGAAAAAAAGTGGGGAGATTAAAATGAAGTAAAGGAAGTTGTTGTTCTGGATGTTGTAGGAGTACTCTTAAAGAAGCTATTAGCTAAAATGTGGGCATATTTTTCTTAATAGTTCTGATGGACGCTTTGAGGGAACTATCACCAAGGCCGTTGTGAAGTACAATGGCACAATATTGTGGACACCACCAGCCAACTACAAGTCAGCCTGCACCATTGATGTCACCTTCTTTCCTTTTGACCTCCAGAACTGCTCAATGAAGTTTGGCTCCTGGACCTATGATGGCTCCCAGGTGAATTTCTATTATATAACAGTATCTGCAGTACATTAATATTGTAATAAACACTGATTAATTAGATTCCCTTTATGATTTAACAGGTGGACATAATTCTGGAGGACTTCCACGTAGACAAGCAGGACTATTTTGACAATGGTGAATGGGAGATAGTGAAAGCCACAGGCAGCCGTGGTCTGAGGACTGATGGCAGTTCTTCCTATCCCACCATTACCTACTTCTTCATTATCCGCAGGTTGCCTCTTTTCTACACCCTCTTTCTCATCATTCCCTGCATTGGCTTGTCCTTTCTTACCATTCTTGTTTTCTATCTGCCTTCAAATGGTGGTGAGAAGATCTCTCTCTGCACCTCAGTGCTGGTGTCGCTTACTGTCTTCCTCCTGGTCATTGAGGAGATCATCCCCTCCTCTTCAAAAGCAATCCCACTCATTGGGGAGTACCTGGTCTTTACCATGATCTTTGTCACACTTTCCATCATTATTACTGTCTTTGCCATCAACATCCACCACCGCTCTTCTTCTACACATCACAGTATGGCACCCTGGGTGAGGAAAATTTTCCTACATCGACTTCCTAAATTGTTATGCATGCGCAGCCATGTGGATCGTTATGCCACAGCTGGAGTAGCCAGGGCTAGAGAAGCGGTGGGACTGGAAGGGATAAAGAGCTCGACACCTGAGCTCACTCAGCTCCTCTACACTCGACACAACCTAGAAGCTGCTTTGGAGTCTATTCGCTACATTACCATGCATGTGGTTAAAGAAAATCAGGTCAGAGAGGTGAGTTTTGAGGGGTTTTTCATTTGTAAAACAAAATCGCAAATTACAACAAAAACTGTAAACTTGGAAAAATTACGGATTCATTACCCTGAGTTAGCTTATATATGTGTCTGCCCATAACCATTAAGAATATAGAGACTGCCATGTGCTTCTTCTGTTACAGGTTGTTCAAGACTGGAAGTTTGTAGCCCAGGTTCTGGATCGAATGTTTTTGTGGGCCTTCCTCTTGGTGTCAGTCCTTGGTTCTGCTCTCCTCTTCATCCCAGTTATTTACAAATGGGCCAGTATCATTGTCCCTAGCCATGCTGGAAGTATCCTCTAATAACCACAGTTAGACTAACCAAAAGTTGAAGCAAAGCACATAAACAGCTACTTCTAGTCATATTTGAGATATGATTATAGTCCTGCTCGGGGTTATTCTGTTTGCTATAGGTGTGCCAGAGCTGCACAGCTACAGCTTTGGGTGCCTTGTTTGCAGAGTGGAGAGAAACAGGCTTTGTCTCAAATCCATAACATGTACTGTTCCTATGTAGGCTTTCAGTATAGAGTTGATTGATACTGGAATAATGAACAAACATGTACTCAGAGTAGACATATATACTGAATACTATCAATTTGTAAATGTCTCTATGATGAACAATATTTTTCAACAAAGCACAACTGAAACATAAAAACCCTTAAAAATCTTTAGGGAAAGGGTATAATATGAGACCTAGTGTGTAGCAGAGTACATAATCACTATAGGATGAACTTGATTTTAATCTAAATTCTGCATTTGAGATTAAATATTACTTAGAAAAGATCATCTGCATTTCTGTCCACATTTCACATATAAATAAATAACAGTACAATATGATACATGTATTTGGCCTTGTCTGTTTACTGGCATCATTGAGTGGATTTATTGTTGGTTCTGGAAAAAGCACAATACAATATGGCAAGAACAAATCCCAGAGATTCCCATAAATCCCTTCATCAGGACATGAGGAAAAGCATACCACATGAAGGCACTAGGACACGTTTTAAGCTTTATGTACTAGTTTGTGATGATCTTTTGAACTGTAGAACATAATCATGATTCTCACTTTTACACAGTATGCCCTATCAGCAATGTCAGATTCATTAGTAGTTTAAAAATAGACTATTCTTGCAGGTAAACACAAAATCTGACAAGGTGCACAATTGTGAAAGAGAACAGCTCGTCTTGGTAAATAAAAGATCAGCATTTCTCCACAATTTCCTTGAATTCCTTTGCCTTTTAGAAGGCTACAGTTATATGACCACAGTAGATACAATTATTATTATCCTGACTGCATGTGGATCAGTTATGTCCTTATATGGAAACATTGTCATTTAAATAGTTTCTTTAGTCATTCTACCTCGCCCTCTTTGAAATATGAGCAGACTTCCTTGCCAGGACTTGAATTTCACAGCACTTCCTTTCACCTTGAGGACATTTACTGCATACTGTGTGGAGACTGTAAGACAATCCATGGTCGCAGCACAAAAGATGCTTCAGGGACGGGATGTTTTTATTTCACTGAAATTTATTACAGAATTAAAAGCTAGTTGAGGACGTCTTGCCAGATTGTTTTGCTGTATGACTGATTTTTCATACCTCAGATCATTTTTTCTTAGTAAGTGGGAAAAAATTGTGAGACGTTTATTTCACTTCTGGAAATGTTTGAAAAACCAGGAAGACTGCTTTTGTCTCCGGCCTTTAGTTGAGCCTGCACTGCCCCCTCATGGCCTTATTTTCACATTACAGCTATGTGAGCGTATTGATGAGTGACATTTGATTTTCCACTACACCACTAAAATACAGAGACTATAAGTTGAAATAATAAACATAGTTGGAGAGGGGTAAAGGATGTAAGGAATAAGGACAGCTAAAAATGCAGGTGAAAAAGGATTAATTAGCACAAATACCTGACTAAAAAGAAAGTAAAAAACCCCAAAATGGGCTTAAACAAAGAATTGGAGGAGGAAAAAAAAGGTGAAAGGCGGTGAAAGTAGACACACTGTTAGCAGTGTATTTCTGAAGAGCTGCAGTTTCTAGTCTAGCTTTATGTTAGTCCTGTTTAAAGGATCAACTATGCTATGACCACATATACTGTATGTGGTCAGTTGTATTGTAGAGATAATGAGACTTTTTTGGGTTGGTGCTTTAATAGGGTAAAGACAAAAATGATGATGAGATGAGATAGCCTTTATTTGTCAGTTGCAGTTGCCCACAACCGAGATGACAGACCTTGCTGACCGTACATACAATACACAAACATCACATTGGGGAGACAGGTCAGGCTAGGTAGCAAGGGAGAAAAAAACATCAAAATGTGTAACACAAAAGGATAATACAGGAATGCACAGATATCAACACACAATAACACAATAAAACACAGACAAGCAACATGGGAGAGTATTCCAGTGTGTACAGCTGATCTGGGACTGCTGCAATCTTCGATTGCGCCTCCAGCTGATCCAGTCTCCACATCGGATGGGAGGTAAGCATGGGAGGAGGCGTTGGATTCGGGGGAGGGAGGGTGATAGTGAGGGCGTATCAGTATCAGTGTACATGTTTCGTGCGTGTGTGTGTGTATCCCGTGTTCAGCTGAGAGAAAGTGTCACCATGCCCGGTTAAGCGAAGGTCGACAGTCTCCAGTGGACCCAGGTGGCCTTGAAGGAGGTACACAGAGTTCTGACAACAATCCTGTTATCATGGGAAGATTTTGTTGTTCCAGTCAACTTCGACCTTGGCAGGCCTTCAGCTGGCGCCAGTGGGATAGCCACATGAGTGAAGATGGTGAATGTTTGGGTTTAGTGCGAAGAACTGCATCCAATTTTTGCAGTTGGTCTAATGTCCATCACTGGTCACCAATTATTTCAGTTCCCATTGTTCTTCTCCAAGATGTTATCCTGCAGAGCCATGAGCTTCTCCAAGATCTTATCCATACTGCGTTCAAAACACAGTCTGAGTACTCACAGCCCTGCCAATCGTCTATCAAGTCGGCCAGCCTTATGGGATTTTGAACAGCTGTAGCAGCTTCTTGTTCTTCGATAAGCCAGGTCCAAGCCAGCTCCAATCAGCCCGAACTCTGTTATCGTGGTTCCAAATTGGTAGATGTCGTTCAATGTCCTCCATCGAGAGTGTCGCCAGACACACAACGCAACCGACCATCGAGTATCCGGCAGCAAACGTCTCTGCAGGACAATCGGGCTCTCCCAAGCCCAGCAGGGTGTCAATTCCATTACGGGACCAGTTGATCAAATCCATATTTCTTTAGGTTTTAGAGAACAAGACTGAGAAACTCTTTGAGGGTTAGAGTTAAACAAGACTAGACAAACACATAGAAGCAGCAGCATGGAAGATAAGGGAGGGAGAGGGGAAAGATGCGTCTATTCATTAGATGTTATACACCACTTTAACAAAGAGGCCTCATTGTTCTCCACATGGTTCTCCATTCCTATAGAAATGCTCAAAGAAAAGCTTATCCATAATCCACTTATGTAAGTTTTTCTGGATTTTGCAATCATGCATTCCATAGTACCTTGGATATATGTCATTGAGAGCTAAGCAACACGTCAATACATACTGGAGCTATGTTATGTAAAACAGGTATGTTACAGATCAATCTTGTTTGTGTGTGTGTGTGTGTGTGTGTGTGTGTATAGTCACTGAATTTGGTTTTGTTAAACCCCACTAGAAATGCAACACCTTGATTTTTCCTTTAAAAGGAAGCCACTGGGTCAACATGGACATCATGATCAAAGCTCTTCATGCTCGGGGACACTCTGTCGATGTGGTACAAACCAATAAAAGCTGGTACATCAAAGATGACTTCCCGCACTACAAACCAATCACAGTTCCTGTTGTTGAAGTTTTTAATCCGGATTTTCTTAACCTCATTCTGAAAAGGGTATTTAGCATTGAAAGGGAGGAAAGCTCGGTTTTTAGCTTTTTGAGTTTGCAGGTTGAAATGTTTAATTTCAGTGTAAACCTTCAGAACCACTTCCTGAACACTTGGAGGACTTTGTCCAGAGTTCTGGAGAACATGGCTTCATCCTCATGTCTCTGGGGACTTTTGTGACTGAACTTCCTGCTGATATAACAAATGAGATCGCTGCAGCTTTTGCTAAACTGCCACAGAAAGTCATCTGGAAGTATAAAGGTGACAAGCCAGTTGGTCTGGGTAATAACACTTCATTTGTTGATTGGATGCCCCAGAATGACCTTTTAGGTCACCCTAAAATAAAATTATTTATGTCACATGGAGGAACAAACCGAGTCCAGGAAGCTATTTATCATGGAGTTCCCATTGTGGGCCTACCTGTGTTTTTTGACCAGTATGATAACCTGCTTCGCTTGAAAGAAAAAGGAGCAGCTAAAATTCTTACATTAGCCATTGTGGATAAAATTTTCTGAAGGCCTTACATGAAGTCCCGAGTGATCCCTCGTACAGGACGAACATGCAGAGACTTTCCAGGCTACACAGAGATAAACCAGTAATGCCACTGGATAACGCCCTCTTCTGGATAGAGTTTGTCATGAGGCACAAAGGAGCAGCTCACCTGAAAGCAGAGTCCTACAGAATGCACTGGTATTCCTACTACTCTGTAGATGTAGTACTATCTTTTCTAGCTCCTAATACAATAATTACCTTTTTTTATCTATTGTGTTTTTTAGGCTGGTATGTCTTGAAAAATGCCTGAAAATTAAAACTAATAGGTTGAATAAGAAATGATAAGACATGGTTTGTGTTATTTTGCAGATTTCAGTGAAGTAGTTTTCCCCAGTTATGTTACAAATCAAAGCTACTGTCAAATGTGAAAGTTCATTCAACTGAATAAAAATTACAACCATAAAACCCTGATCCCTGTGTCCACAGTCTGTATGTCCCCATGGAGAACAGTAGAATGTGCTTTTTCTATTTTAATTATGCAGGATAATGTTTGCTCTGAGATAGCCTTCCCAAACCCCAACCTCAAATTTATCAAAAATGTTCTGTGTGGACTAGAAACAATTTATTGAATACAAATACATTTAATTACCACAATAAAAACATAATAATTGTAAATTTGAAAGCTATACACAGTGAGTATTTTTTTATTGTATTATATACATATTATATACATTTTTATGATGGATTGATGGAAATAAGGGGTCACAAAAATGTGAATACATCTCTAAGAAAAATATAAAACATTAATGTCTGCATGCTCTAGAGTGAAAGCAAAATGCAGACTATTTTATAAAGCATGGTAAGTACATCCATGCCTTTGATCAAAATGTTTTATGAAGAAACAAGAAACAGCAAGTTGGAGCAAGTCTTTCTTCAGCTGTGTTGCTGATAAACATCTGTGAATGCCAATGCTTCGCAGCCACTACACTTTCAGAAAACATTGCCACTCATTGTGAACATGATCATTGCCTGCAGTCACTAATTAGCTGAAACATAGAATGAAGTGGAACTGGGGGTAGGAACGCTGTTGTCTTTCTTTTTATGTTTGATTGATGAACTATATAGACAGGCTGGACTTGAATCTGCAGGCACATCATCTGTGGTTGGAAAGTTTCAGTTAAATAGTGGTCGCAAGTGTTATTTAGACACGTGTTTAATGCGTTTCAACACTCATGGTCTTGCCTTTAGCCTCGTTTCCGGTAACCATCTTTACTGACAGAATTAACTATTCTAATTCAGGCAGCATGAAACACTCTTTCACACATTTCCTGTGGTCTTCCTGTAAGACTGAGTAAAGCAACAAAGACGAACCTTCTGGTTTCAAGTATTAAAACACCATTTGTAATAAGTTCCCGACAATATGTTTTCTTATTCTAATAACTTCATGCTCAATCCAGCTCAAGATTAGAAGACATAATAACTACTCTTCGGTAATACATGTTGTATTTGATAATGCAACATGTCATCATGTTGCATTCATCTTACATTGCCAATTGTGATTCACTAAATATAATATAATATAATATTAATTTTAAAGTACTTTTAGTACCGTACTTTGCTGCTAAATAATGTTATGGGACTTATCATCTCTTTTATGTTCATGTTAGGCAATAAAGTCACCTAAATGACTGTTAAAAGGCATCAAAACTATGTCTATTATAGCACAATGAAACACAATGCGATCGCTTACCTACAACAGTGTACGCGTCTTCAAAATTTTCAGAAGGCAATGAAACCTCAGCTGCCAGATTGTTTGGACACCTGATGATAAAATGTTGTTAATGATCAGATTTCATTACTGCTCATGCTTTTGTTGTTATTACACATTTTTTTAAGTGTACAGATGTTGAAAATAAAAATATATTCTTACGCGTCATCATACTCTATGCTGAAAGAGTCTTCTTTTTCTGATAAAAACACACACACAAAAACACAGTGAAATACAGAGAAAAATTAAAGTTCATGGCAATTTCTATTTATAATAGCTGTATATAGCTTTGAAAAATTTAGTCGTTAATGAAACAGATGTGATTTGAATAGTTTTAAATAGTTTTTTTTGTTTGAAAGAATATGAATGTATAAATGTTTGTGAAATTACACAGAAATCCTTTGTTGGATTAGAAAAGAGCAGAACACAGATAAGATTTTCATTCTAAGTCATCACATGTAACTTTATCAAAAATTCCCTAGAGTATGTCTTGACTGTAACTCCATTTTGACCATACCGTCTTCCCACTCTTCCTGCTCCTGCTGTTCCTCCAACATGTCTGAGTTTGCCTGCTGAGTCGTTGCACTGTAAAAACAAAACAAACAAAACATATTTCAGTGGTACATTCACTTTTGCATTCACACACAAAGACAAAACATAAAAAACTAATTTTCCTAATAATAAAAATCACAGAAGTGTCCAAAAGATTATGCATATTGAATTAAAGCTCACCGTGGTCTGCAAGAAGTTGAGCGAACTGTTGAAACACAAAACAAATATAATTTTAAAGCAAAATATTGCATGAAGGTATATTCAGCTATATTATGTGGTTGGTTTGATTAATCCATACAATATACAATGACTTGTGAAAAAAATGTGAAGCCTAAAATTGTTTTTAATTATACTTATTTGACCTATTTTGTTTGAAATCCACCAAAGACATGCCCCGAGTGATAGCATCAAGGTTATTACTCCAACATGGAGTAACACTGTAGACACCAAATCCACTGGAAAGTAAAATAAGATGATTAATTTATTTAAAAATATATTTCAGTATAAAAATAATACATTATTATAAAAAACACGTCTATTTAAAGCATTTTTGAAACATTCAGAGACCCTTACCTTTGACCTGAAGAAATACTTTGTTTGTTCCATGAACTGTGTACTCATGCTCATAGAAGCATTTTGATGGCAGCACTATGCAGCTGTAATGACCTGAATCCCTCAAAACTGCACCATCGATGATGAAAGTAGTCAGCATCTGAGAGACATTAAAGACTTGCACTTGGAAAATCGTGACATTCTTCCTCAGGTAAGCGTAGATGAATTTACATCCACCAAGAGTTTGAATATGTTGAGACACTGTGCACTGGAATTCAACATCGTTTCCCTCATGAACAGTGGTTGACCCAACTATTGAAATATCTGCTGGGAGAAAATTGGCTGCATGGAAACAGGAGAAAATGAGTGGAAAGAAATAACAATGACATCATGTGTTCAGGAGTCAAAACACTTACCTATGACCAGAATCTCAATGATGTTGTCTCCTTTCTTGGCTACTTCAGAAAGTGTATAATGTTTGGGGGAATAAACACAGCTGTAATTTCCACTGTGATGAAGACCAGCTCTGGATATGGTGAACAGGGTGTCATTTTTATCTTGCTTCTGGGTGAGATTCTGGATTCCACGCCCATTTTTTAACAAATAAACATAAACCATAGAGTCTTTCTTTCTCCCAAATGTGCTGCATGTTACATAAAGGTCACTGTTTTCACTTATAATTGTCTGCTGGGCCAGGATCTTTGCAGGAAAAATATCTGTGAGACATCATAGTGAGTAACATATGTAATGATGAGTGTAGCTCAGTAACATTTAGGAATACAGAAGAGACATATCTTGTAATGAGGGAAACTGAACTTACCCTCAGTTTGGCTTATGACCTGATTTGTCAGAACACCTGGAAGAAAAGAAGTGAAAAATCTAATGAATCCTGTCAGCTTAAATAGATAGAAAACAGTTTCACTTAAAGATGTAGATGTTATCTGTTAGTGTACTCACACAGAAGAGCGATTATTATGTTCATCGTTATAGACAATGAGCCGCCCTCACAGACTCTCTGCAGCGTATCTTCTGAAAGCTTCTCAAAAGTCTTGCTCAAACCACAGAGAGTAAATATGGAGAAACTATATTGAACCACTTCCTGTTATTTGTAAGGTGACACGTGATATTTCAACATTTTTGACTGGATAAAAAAATAATATCTACAAAAAAATAAAATTCAGAGGAGTGTGTTCTTAAACCATTTTACTTTCAAATACCTCATATCACAAATTGATGTCCACTGACGTTTCTTTAGTTGTATAATAAGTCATTCTCACATACTGTCAATTATACCCAATACAGGATGCTCATCTTCTTTCACTCTCACACACTGAGGAAATATATGTAAAAGATTTTCACACATTTTCAAACACACATATATACACACTCACAAAAGTGAGGCTTTGACCATAACACAAAGCTGAACACCGATTTAAAAGTGCACTTTGACTGATTCTGATCCGGCTGACTTTAACAGATTAGACTGACTTGGGCCAAACCTTTTCCTCTGGATATCCAGAAAAAGACCAATTTTATTTGCTTTGCATCTTTGTAAAGGATCCAGTGTTGTTTTTTTATTTTTTATTTTTTCAAATGCTTGACAATTACAGCTTTTACCCCAGGCATGGTGGGCTGTTCATAAGAGATTTATGAAAAGTTTCAGAAAAATAAAACTTGCGGTGTGTGTGTGTTTCATAAATATAGTATTATTTACAGATTCACTCAAACTCTTCTTACAATTCTAGATCAACGTGTATACAGGAGTGGGTCACATGCTTACGTTTGCATGCCTCAAACATTAATGATGACAACTTCAGTATTTATCAGTTCCATTCTTTAATTCTCAGGCTTGCAGCGGCAACACAATCTGCAGCACTAACTTGTTGCTCTAATGTTTTCCTTCCTTTTTCCTAACCCCCTTTCCGGCTTACATTCGACCTTTTCAAAATAAAATATCTGTAAACGTCACAATGGTTACACTACTTTTTTCCAAAGGTCCTTTTTGTCTTTGTAGACAGTGTTTAAATATCCTTAAAATTCACAAATTACATTTTCTTAATTATTACCTGTTCCAGAAAGTAACTGCTTCAGAGTCAGGCAGGACCTCTTATAATGCAATTGTAACTTTTAATGTCCAATCAAATAAGGGCGCATGTATTGCAGCAATCTGAACAAATTAAGTTACATATCTCTTTAAAATGACTAGGAAGTAACTTGTAGTAACAAAGATTTACCACAGGATGTCAGCCTTTGAGCAAAGTGTCAAAGAATCTCACATGAAACTCTAAATTAAAAAAAAAAAGTGGAGTAGTTTGATGTGGTTTCTGGAAACTAAAGATGTTAGTGCAGTAGATCTGATTTAGCATCTTTTTTCCAAGTGTTTCTTAGGTCAAGATACAGAACTTTAACTAATCTCTTCATCTCATT